GAATAGGGCCAGGAATGCAGGGAAGGCATGTTAGAGTGTCAAAATAATTGTGAAATGTAAAACAGAGGAGGAAGAGAGCTGGTCAAACCAGTTGTGTGAGTGCTAAGAGTCCTGTGACAGCAGCAGAAAGTGTGACAAGCCAGGGACAGAAGGCTTTCCATATGTCATGCTAGATGTGTGGCAGTTTCACAAGATGGCTTGTTATTCAAGGTATGCAGGCAGGCAAGCTTGGGCTGGGCTAATCTCAAAATGGTACTTTGAGAAGTTCCTACCCTGGGCGTTCTAAGTTGACTTGAGTAGTGATTACATTCTCCTGTGGCATAGGCAGCAGAAGGGACATATGCTGTGAGGGTGAGACAAACATCACATGGAGGAGACTGAGGAGCAAGACACTTCTGCCATACTCTCCAGAGGGAACTGAGGAGCAAGACACTTCTGCCATACTTCCTCCTGGGGAAGGAGCAGAGCAAATGGTTGAAGGTAGAAGCTTAGCAAAACAGTGCAAGAAGGTCGGCCAGTGCTCACCTGGCACTTTGCTATCACTCAAGATACTGTATGCTGACCTACCATGATCTGCTTGTCCGATGCATTAACAAGATATCATTACAGAAAACAGCTGATCTGCTTGAGTCAGGATTTGCCTTTTATGATGGCTTTTGACGCTTTCTGAAGTCATCATAAAAGACACTAAGCTATTTTGTTTCCTTAGTGCAGTATTTTGTAAGAGTGATACCACAACCTTATTACTTCCCTGATTTTGGGACAGTCACTTATAAGGATGGGTAGAATAATAGAAGATGGATATAAAACCTGGAAAGACATGGAGCTGCTATCAAATATATATTTGGTGTCCAAATATTATCTGGGACTTGCTGTATTTGTATGTTTGATGTGAAACAGTCAAATACTAGCAAGTTTCATTTCAACTAGCTACTGCTAGGCTGGCAATGTTGATCATTTTAAGCTGCTTTCACACAAAACCTTTTGCTTACAAAGCAGGAGGCTTTTCTTTAGTTTTCTCTCTCTGGCCTTATAAAGGAGGTATCTGCTATATCCAGTTGCCTGAGGTAGGCACGACAAACTTTGGGTATTCAAGAGACATTTGAATATCAAGATGAACTTGCATTGACAGTTGCTCCACGTGATTTCTTTGTCTGGATATTTCTGATGTGAAGATAAATGGGGATCCTATGATGAATTGTTAAGTTTTGTTTCTGTTTAAAAGTTAGCACTTAGAACATGAAAACTAGTACTATCCAGCGGCAGTTGGGGGGAAAAAAAATCTGCTGAGGTTGTGAACAGATTCAAATATATTTCGGCAGATAAAGCTAAAATCCAATGTATTGGAATTCAAAAGGCTGTGAACATTCTTAATGTGGCAAATTATATTCTGGGTACCACTGAAAATTAGAGTAGGTCTGCAGGAAACACTGAATCATCATAATTTACTTTTCATGCTTTAACTGATTTGTATAGTCGCTATTCAGATTCCCCATGCATTTGATGCAAAACCTATGCTTTATGATTGTTATTAAGTAAGATATTATGTATATGGAGTTGGTGGCATTTTATTGCTCTGCAACTGAGTTATGCAAATAATTGTATTTCTGCTTCCACATAGATTAATCTTTCTCTCTAATACTAATTCACAGTATTATTTACAGAAGGAAGAAACACAATAAGATGAAAACTTAATATCCTTCCCAATGTACTGTCTTAACAGGGCTGTAGTTTTCACCTGTTGCTTTCATATGAAGAAAAATACCATCCAGTTTGCTGACTGGACTGGAGATTTTAGCTATGGTAACCAACATGAAAGTTTGCATATCTGACTTTACCACTTCTTTTCTTGTGGGAGTGGTGAACTGCAGCAGCTGGGCAGCGATGAGCAGCTTTGAGGCAGTAATACATCAAACAACTGCACATTTTTGGGGTTTTATAACACTTTAGAAAGTACTTTAGAAAAGGCTTAAAATGAGCCAAAAAAGCCCTCTGATCATGCCAGAGAAAGTGTCAGCGAGAACTTAGACTAGAGTAACTGCTATAGAAAAAACTTGCACCTCAGCTTTATACTAATACAGTCTCTTCCTACAGCTGAGTGTGTGGATTATAAGCTACCTGCAACAAGAGGGAACAGATACTAGAAGGTGAATTTCTCTTCCCTCTTAACTGCATCATTTGCAAATGATCTTATGGTTATTGACTGTGTTAAATGCACCAATCTCAAAACATTGCTTTTTTAACAGCTTTTTAATTAAGCAGGAACTAGTTTGTTCTGCTACTATCAAACTGAATGCTTTTTCTTGCAGTTATGTTCATTATCTTTGCTTGCAGATTGAGATCGTCAGTAGGGTTGTTTCTTTTGTTTTATTTTAGAGTAACAGTAGTACATTGTGAACTTTCATTACTAGCAGAAGTTATCAAAAAGTAGATAGGTACCAACAGAGCAATTGTTTTGGCTGCACAAACCAATTGCATGGATTTGTTGTCTCCAGTGTTGACCTAAGCATAAATCCTTTGATACAAAGGGGAATCAGAGATTTTATTAGTATCAGAGATCTGTTTGTAAAATGGGGAGTCCTTGTAAGAGTTTCACATTGTATATAAACTCTCACATTCACCATCTCTATTCTCATTTGTAGCTTTTCTTGCCATTTGCTTTCTGGTTCCTGTTCATTTGTACTGGGTTTGGGGCTGTAGCACTGAGGGTTTTTGCTTTGAAACAAAAAAGGAAAAGTGGTTTGCTTGTTACTTAAAAATGCATAATTGTCATTTGATTATTTGTGACTGTTGTCCAGTCGTGACGTGTTCCCTTTCATACTTTCAGCCTTATGCTCAGTTTTCCTTATGCTTTCCTCTTGTTGATTAACTGGCAGTTGTAGCCCAACTGTTGGTTTCAGATACTAGTGGTAGACTTTTCCTTTGATGGTATTTCCTTGTAGAAACAGCTGCTGCTTTTTTTTCTTATCTGATTTCTATACCTAATAGTGAAAGGTGATAGTGGTAGCAATTAGTCACAGACCTAATGGGATTCTCTGTTCTAACAATGTAAGCCTCAGTACTAAGTGTTGGTTAATAAGGCAGGACTCTGGAGGAGTGGAGCCCCGCAGCACAAAGGGTTTCCTTTCAGACTGTGTCAAAGTGCAGGGCCTGGAGCATGTAGCTGAATGACTTGGACTGTGTGACTGTGTAAGAGAAAGCTAAACAAATGAGAAAGCAAGTATGGAAACAAGCTTGGTGTTGCAAGATGACAAGGTTGCTACTTCCTTTGAGATGATTGTTGGAATAGCAGAGTTGAATTTATAAATGAAAAATTTGCCTTGTTATTAAATAGTCTCATTTATCCAGTATCAGGGAATAGGGTTGCACCTAAAAGTTATGACTGCTGTAATGAATTTCTCCTAATGGAAATTATATGATAAGGGCTTCTTGTGCTTGCTAAAAACGCCAGCAGTCTTTCCAGACACCTGACCATCTGGGATTCCTGAAAAAGAAGATACAGGCTTATACCCAGGCTCTTCCATAAGTATTCTGGCTATTTGGATCTCAATATGGTGTCCTTCTAGAAGAACACTTTCTACATAGCTTTTCAACTCCTCAAATGTTTGCTCTGCAAGCTACTTTTTGAAAGAGCAAATCTGCCACAGGCCATCTGTGCTCTTCCAGCACGGGATTTTGGCTGCTTGAAAGCAGATGGAAAGAGAGAACCTCACCCCCATCCTCCCCCGGCCCCTTCCTTCCTTTAGGTTGCTGGGTACAGATACATTTTGCTGTATGGGGGGTGAGGACATGACAGTAAGGAAATTGTATATTCTGGCTGGATGAGGGAGTCACCACCCTATGTTGTAAAAATGAGTAGACCAGGGCATATTACTGCTTCCAAATAGCATACAGGAAAATGAAAGCTGTAAGGCTCTAGATTTTTTTTTTATTTGTTCTTTTGTGTCTGAGTGTTTTTCAGAGGTGTGATGACTTGGGCTTTTTGTGGACTTAAATCAAAGAATTATTAATTCTAAAAAGCTCTGCTTTTTTTTATTGGCATTTGTCTCACTACTTCTTGTTTGCTATCCTTGATTTCTCACCTTCTTTTAGAAAAAACTTATACTGGAGCATTTACTTAGAAGTTAGGCTGGAAAATCAACAAACTCTGCATAACACTTACGTATCTAAATATTTTTGCCCTTCGAATTTTACTTTCTAGTAGCCTTTCTTTCCCCTCTCTCAATCTCTTTTAATTTTGAATATAATATTTTGTGTAATGTGAATTCTACTTCTAGATTTCCAAAGGAAAATGATGGAGGGATATTTACCAGAAATGCAAAGCATGCTGGAGCCAGTCAATCTGTTGGACGACGCCTCTTCCAGGTCCCCACATAATGAGAAGTCTGATAAAACATCTGGAATGAAGGGCTGCTCAAGCATTAGTTATACTGGAGATGATGCTGGTGTCTTGGAAAGGGAATCGAGGTTGTTGCCCTTGGACCAGGATTCAACAGCTATTGGGAAAAGCAACAATGGAGTCCTGGCAGAAAGACAGGAGCAGCAGTGTGGAGGGGCAGACTGCTGTGCCAATACCTGCTCTGAAAGAAAGGTAGAAGGCTTCACAAAAACAGAACATGCATCTAGTGAAGAATTTGAACGACAAGATCCAAAAATTAATCAGACAGAACAATCATTAATGGAAATATTACAGGAGCTAAGGGAGGAGTCTGACTTTGTGAAAAAATCTAGTGATAAAATCTATTCAGAAAGCCCTTATGACACAGACTGCACAAAGAAGCTTATTTTCACAATACATCAGACTTCCTCACAGGAGGATTTGCTAAAGGAAATAGAGTCTGAACTCTTATCTACGGATTTTTCAAAGGAACGAAAATTCCCAAATGGTGTGCGGAAGGGCGAACATGCCTTGGTTGTGTTTGAAAAATGTGTGCAAGATAAGTACCTGGAGCAAGAACAAACTATAAAAAAGTGAGTATTTGAGTATGCTCATCACAAATGGAGGTGTGTACTGAACAAGTTTGCTTGCATGTTGTGTGCAATGGCATACAATATTTTGGTATGAAACAAGTAGTCTCTTGTGAGTTGTTGTTTTAAGGACAGTTAATGAGCTTTTTTAATTATGTTCTTTAAGTGAGGAATTATTTTTACTTGTGGTATGTACTTGCAAATAAAAATGTGTGCTTAGATCTCTGAATTCTTGTGGAATTTGGCAGGAACTGAATAGCCAACTGTTCAGTTGAATAGCCTGCCAATGTCTGGAATTACTTAAATACTGTAAAAGTAATGGTGATACAAAAATAGTTCAGGATTCATTCAGTCCATATATGTCTTTGGAGAAATGAACCTTTGTAATTACTAACTCCCACTATGTGCGTTTCATTTATGAGTTTGAAATTGCTTGTTTCTTTTTCAAGTAGTATTCAGTCTCCTGTCATAATCCAGCAAAGTTGCTAATCGGTCAAGAGCTATTCTTTGAGTTGGAAATGTCGTATATAAACTTGTCTATATATAGATAAAAAATGTCTTACCACATTTTATAGGAGGGCTTTTGAAATGCATGGCTTATAAACTTTGCTGTAATAAACTGGGCTTAATTCTACCAGGCAGTATACTACCTGAAGAATATTATATTCATGAAAAGCCAGTTCGTTGCTTGATTTCTTGATTCCTCACTTGGTGTTTCATATTCTGTTACCGCTTTAGAAATGTTTTTTTGCTAACAAAATGTAGCCTCTAACTTCAAATTTATTCCCACTTGCAGAGCTAGAAATGAGTGTCCTACTCTTCATATAAGGCACTCCGATAACCATGGTATGGGAGGACATCAAAGGGAGGGAAGCCAGGCAGAGGGAGGGATGCCCGGTGGGGAAAGTATTCTCTTGCACCTCACCAATTAACCTCTGACAGAAATCATAAATGTGGGGAAAGTCAGTTGATGACAGGAAAGGTTGGGAATGCATGGTTAGATGTTTAGTAATTACAAAGGGGGAGGAGTCGGAATCTGAAGTGGTGGGTGTGTAGACGGTTGTAATTCCAGGAGATCATAAGTGAACAAGTTATTTGGATTTTACTTGCTTATGGTAAACTCAAAGGCAGGTCAGTGTTTTCAGCCATGGACCAACTACTTTCTTAGAGACAAATGTTTATATAAATATATGTATATATTATGTATACACACAGAAGTTTTTTCTATGAACATGTCTTCAGTCTCTTTTTTATTTTTTTGCTAGCTGCTATCCCAGCTGCACCCCTTTGACTCTTGGGGACTGACCTCAAGAGTGTAAAACTGCTGTGGAACATTTTATGTTTGGTCCAGAGGGCATTCTGGGTTGGGCTGATTTTGTCCCTTAGTTTATGATCAGCAGAATTTCTTGTAACGTGGCTTTGGAAATAGCCCAGTTGTCTCCTGTGATCAGATCTAAGATATATCGGTGAGCAGCAATTGTGTGAATTAAGAATTTGTAATCCTGGAATACTCATTAATAGATTAAAAAACAGTTCAGAAGTGCTAAACTCTTTCACTGATGGTTTTGAATTCCTTGTAATTTAGAAGCCTAGTTTGTTTAGAGATTTATCTCCC